AGAAGCCTCTCAAGACAACTTATTTCCTGAGAGAGGTTGAAAGTCATGGGTTTTGTGGAATTATGTGTTTCTTAGCCTAGAGATCACAAGAATAGTACCTTCAACAAAGTACTTATCTTGCTTCTAAATCATAAAATAATATGTACATTGCTTTATCATCCATCTTTAAGTGACCAGTTAATATTCAGTGTGGATGTACAAGGTGAGCTGATGCCTGGTTACCTTTCTCTGTGAGGACACTTGTCATTTAGAAGTCACTCTTTGGGAACAAACTCTACTCCATGCCTTATTAATTTCTTCATGTTAGTCATAGGATTGGGGAATAAATTTACTGCAGGAGTTTTCATAGCAACTAATTAGGTAACATAAAATGAGGCAACCCACAAAATTCATCTACCTAGGACAATACTAATCTTCAGTGCTGCCCAGTAAAATATGACTAACAGACCTGGAATGGCTGTGGTGGATAGTAAATCTTTTCAGCAAAAGACATTTAAAACATTAGGAGAGTAAAAATATTAACAATTAAATTTTCTAGGCAGATGTCTGCTTTGGGGTACTCAGAGAAGGAAAAGAAAGCAGATTTTTTTACGATGAATGGTTTTGCCATTAATCAGGTTAGGTGTAGAAGCCACCAAAACTGTTATTTTGCCCATATTGTACAAAATTTTAAAACATTGGGGTGTTGGAGGGAGCCCAGAGAAGGACAATGAAGCTGGTGAAGGATCTGGAGCACAAGTCCTATAAGAAGTGGCTGAGGGATCTGGGATTGTTTAGCCTGGAGAAAAGGAGGACTGGGGGAACTTCTCTCTCTCTACAGCTGCCTGGAAGGAGGGTGTGGGCAGCTGGGGGTCAGTCAGCCTCTTCTCCCAGGCAACCCACAGCAGGATGAGAGGGCATGGCTGCAAGCTGTGCCAGGGGAAACTCAGCTTTGACATCAGAAGGAATTTCTTCACAGAAAGGGTAGTTCAACATCAGAACAAACTGCTCAGGGAAGTGGTGGAGTCACCACCCCAGAGTTGTTCAAGAAGCTATTGGACCTGGGACATAATGTCACGGTCTAGTTGACAAGGTGGTGATCAGTCAGAGGTGGAACTCAATGACATCAGAGGTTTTTTCCAACATAAATTATTCTTATTCTACCCTCACAGCCATGGTCAGATCTTCTTGCCTTGAAGAAATAACAGATGCCTTAATTGCTGAAAACTTGACCCACATGTGGCAAAGCTAAAAATGAACACAGAAACTGGTAGCATCTTCAGCACAGAATACATATTTTGAGTTTGATAGTGAAATTTTATTTTCTGTATGCTCTGACCAGGCCTCATCCTTCACAGTTTTCACAGTGCCTTGGTGATGCATGTGGCCAGACAGCTGGAAAACTCTGCATTCCAACAGAAACAGCTCTGGATGTGCATGGGTTGTTGTGAGAGTAGGTGGAGGAAATGAAACACTGAGGAACTGGGAGGATGTCACTGCTGTGGTCTCCATGTTTCAGTTGTTCTGCTAATGCCCAGCCTGGGAAGAAAATGAAAATAAAATATAACAAAAATGAGGTACTGTGGCAGTACTGATATAGATGGCAAAAGTATAGAGGCATGAAAGGTCAGACAGGAGAACGGATGGAGGACGATCACATTGAATGCAATGGAGAGTGAACCAAAGTATTCAGACATGAACAATGATGAGGTTATCTACAAAGCTATAGGCAAATACGTATCAAAGCAACATTCATCAAAATTTTCAGCATATCTATGATGAATTTAGATGCCTCTTTCACAGAAGTTAATGGAAAATACAGATCCTAAAAATCGCAACCATTGCTTAATCATAATTTTGTCTGTCTCAACGAACAGCAGATATAAAATTGCATGGCCAGTTATTTGAACTCTTGTGGTAAAGGAAATCTTTTTATGGATGCTGGCAACCCAGACCTTCACACCTTTACACCCTGGTCGTAGAAGGGAGACTCACCAAGGAAGGAGGAGCACAGGCAGCTGCCGTGGCTGCACGGCTTCACACCGAGACCGGATGGAGCGGTTCTGACCTTCTTTCCAGCAGAGGGCAGCGACAGACAAAAACTCACTCTATTTTCAGACCGAACATTTTGCAGCGTGGTAAATATCAGCTTTATGGAAAGAGTTCATTTCAGCGTGTGTACAGCCTAATTACGCAGTAATGGCAGTCATGATAACTTCTTTCACCATCAGTTAAAGCAAAGAGAACTTCCTCCAAAGAAGAGATGAAAGTGCGAGTATATAGAAAAAGGGCTTTTGCATTTGGGGTCATTTGACAAACTGCAGATGGTTGAAGATATTCATACTGAACTATCTCACTTCCCCAGGCCATTTAAAAACTTTCCTTTCTGATTCCTGCTTTTCTAATCTAAAACCTATTTTGGAACTTTTTTTTTCCAGGCTTTACTTTCTTGTTTCTTGTTCACCTCCATTCATTTACTTCTCCTTCCTGACACCCCCTGCTTCACAGCCTCTTCTCAGTTTTGTTTGTCTGTGCCATATCTCTCAGAGCCAGGAGAAGAATCTTTGTTCCTCTCTTGGAAATCTTGCCCCCAAACTGCACATCTTCTGAGACACCTGGGAGTACTGGGACTACCAGTGCAGACAGGTGTTAGGCCTAAAATCAAAATAATTAGTGTCTCACAAGGACTATCTGCATCATTGTGCAAAATAGCTTGAACTTCCTATTTGTCCGGGATGGACACTTCTCTAGAACTATCAGGAGAGAATTATAACAAGACTTTCCTCTCCTGCTCTCTTAGCCCAGCTAGATTGAAGTAAGGCAAACAAGGGGGATCCAGATAATTCACTAAATGGTTTACATTCACATTAGGGAGTGCAAGTTAAAAAAGGGAACAAAAATCTTCATGCTGGGATTTACTTTGAAATCAGATAATTTTATGCACAAATATCTCCTCTTTCCTTCTTAGTCTTCAGTCTTCAAAGGGAGTTGGGTCTACTTAATTTTGGAAGTTTGGATGAAGGATAAAAATGCATTGTTTTCCTGACCACCTTGTTCTACTAACTAATATAATCAACAGTTTGGCATAAATTTTCATAAACTATCAGACATAACATGACTAACTGCTTTTTAACTTCACAGGCCTATGGAAGGCAGGCTAAATCTTCACTTAATAACACAGCAAAATATTACATGAACTCTACTAATTAGGTACTCACACACCATCATATTTTAAGCAACAGATTATGCCAGATTTGAAACTGACTTGAAAATGCAGTTTATGATGACAAGTCAAAAAATTCTTGTGAAGACATAAGAGCATAGGATAGTGCTGTGTGTACAAACACTGAAGTAAAATAATGAACCCTCTTCAGCTTATTTACCTGAGTTAGCTCAGACTCAGCATCTGTGTTTCAGTTTAGGAACTAAGGGAGTATGTGTACCTTTATTTTATAAAAACAAACTAATTATATGGCTTTAGGGTGCAGTTTGGTTTAGCAACGTCATGCTGACTTGATTTATACAATTTAGTAACAACAAATTTGGTCTTTTTTATTTTATTGCAGGACTTCTGGGAAGCCTAAAAATATTTTATTATCAGCAGCTAAATCCCAACAAGATGGAGAGTATTTTCAGTGATTTCCCCTTTACACCACCTATTACACCTACAATTAAAATAACCCTCAAGAATTATTTTTAAATAGACTGACCAATTTTTCCCCACTCAATTTGTTGACCACTTGCTATTAACATAATTATCAACAGATCAGAATTTTGTGTCTTATGCAGCCTGTCAATACAAACTACACTTGTAATTAAAAATGTCAATAACACTTCATCCTTTCCTCCTTTTATTACCCCTGAGATGTTACCTCTGCCTTGTCCATTACAAACAATAACACAAAAAGTATAAACAGCATACCCGATATCCCCACCAATTAATTTTTTTTCTCATGCTTGTCATAAAACAAACCTTTTTCTATGACTAATATTATCTTCTAGTCCATATGCATTATTTTTTTAGTACAAAAATAAAAAAATCAAGTACATTTCTCACTAACTTTTCCTGGTCTAAGGCTTAAAGAAATCACATCATGAAACCTGCTACTATGACTCACTAGTAAATTTAGGACAATAAGAATAATATGGGCATTCTGTTAGCTCATATTCTATTCTAGCTATTTTGTAACTTGTATGTCAAAATCTCATTTATATGCCCATATGCCACTCTACAGCCAAATGATGGATTTAGTATTTACTATTTAACAAATAAGTGATTTGAACCACTGTTCAAACACCTTTTAGTAAGTCATACACCGTGGCTGAAATTTAAGTGCCCGTGACTGGACATGCGAGGACCAGGGTACCTGCACCGTGGCCCGGATAAGTACAGCCTTTTTCACTTTCTGTACTCGCTACCACGAACATTTGTAGCTTCACTTGGGGCTCCCACAGACGCCCAGCTCACACTCCGCACCTGCAGCCCCCCTGCCCCACAGCGGTGCAGCCCCACGCAAGGACACCGACCTTGTGGGGTCCGTCTGTGCTGCCCCCGCCTCCGCCCACAGCAGCAGCCCCGGGAAACGCCGCGGCTCCGCTCCCGCTGCCCCCGCCCCTCCCGGCTCGGCCGGGACCCCTGGGAGGCGCCGCATCCCAGTCCCACGCGGGGCATCCCCGCTGCGGGGGCATTTTTGGGGCAGAAACGTGGAGGGTTTTTTCAGCCGCTTCCCGAGGGGCTCGGGTAACCCGGGTTCAACGGAGTCCCCTGGGACGGAGGCCCTGAGGGTCTTTCCTAAAGGCATGTCCTTGGGAGCGGGCGGGAAGGGCGGCTGGGCTAGCGCGGAGGGGCAGCCCGGCCGCCGCCGTAGTAAGAGAGCTGCTCCTCCGGTGGTTGGGCTGGGGAGCGCTGGGCTCCTCCTCCTCGTCCCCCCCAGCAGTGCACAGCCAGGCGTGTGACTGACGAGTCTCCCCCCGTCTATCTTTTCCTTTTTTTTTTTTTTTTTTTTTTTTTTTTTTTTTTTTTTTTTTTTTTTTTTTTTTTTTTGCCATGGGTACACACACCGAGACGCGCACATGACAGCACTTGGGTGCCAGCGCCGGTGCATCGCCAGGAGGGCTGTGCTTCACTCCGAGCACGCACACACGCATGCTGCTGCTGCTTCTGCTGCTGCTGCTGGAAGTCCTTCTACGCGGGGATTAGCAGCCGCCTCTTCGCTCTCTGTATTTCCCCGTCTCTTTCTTCTCCCTTCCTTCCCTTCCTCCTTCTTTCCCGCAAACGCCTGACTGACGGACGGCGGGCAGGAAAAGGTAAATGCGGGCGTGCTGTTTGCTGACGGTACGGAGGGTGATGGTGTTCGCGGCGTGCTGCGCGGTCCGCCCTCGGCTCGCCGGGCAGCCTGCCTGCCTTGCCTGCCTCGCCTGCCCTCCCGCCGCGCCGGCGGCTGCCGCGGCCGCCGCTCCCCGGCTCTCCGCGGCTCGGGCGATCGGCTTTTGCCGCGAGAGGTTTGGCTCACCCAGCCCCCGCTCCTGTCTCTTCCCCCGGGCTGCGAGGTGGAGAGGTTCCCCGCTATTGTGCTGCTCGCACTTGGCAGCGCGGGTGCGAGCGGGCGGGAGCGCTTAGCCAGGGTTTCGCGGGAGGAGGCTGGCTATTAATTGCTGTCTGCGCGGAAGAGGAGAGCGCTTCCCCTGGCACGGAACCTGGGCATTATTTATTAATCGGGGCAACGGGAGGGTGGCAACGGGAGGACTCGCCGTCGTCCCCGTGTCGTGTTCTCCCTCCCCGTTTGCTGCATCATTCAAATGAGTGATTCTTCGGTGGCCTTGCGTTGCGAGGCACTGTCCCCCCATCCACGGGGATTCTGCCAGCCGCCGTGGACTGCCGTTCTCCTCTGCCCGGGGGAGCGCCCCCTTCCCCGGCGAGCCTGCGGGCGAGCGGTGCGGGGGCATCGGCCGCGCCGGGTGCTGCCCCGCCGGCCCCCGCAGCCCCGTGAATAGTTGTCGGCACTTGCTCGGGCCGAGTTTGTCCCGCGTCCCTCCCCGGCAGGACAAGGACAGCGGGGTGGATATTTGCCTCCCGCCTCGGCGGAGCCCCCGTGGTGCGGGGATGCCGTGGAAGCGAGAGGTCCGGCGCAGCCCCGCCGAGGGGACCGCGTCCCGCCAGACTCGCGCGGACCCCGATCCAGACTTCCGTCCCCAGAGGAGCGGGTGCCTGGGAGCGCGCTTCAGGCCGGCAGGGGACAGGAGGGAGACGGTGCTGCGGAGCCCGCCCTGCCGGGGCGCTCGGGCAGCGGAGCTCCCCCGCCGCCGCGGGCAGGGGTGGCCGGGCAGGGCAGCCCGTCCGCGGGCCGGCCCCGGCTCAGGTGTGCGCATTCAGCGGCTCAGAGCTCCGGGGATCGCCTGGGCAGCCCCCGGGGCGGAGGTTAAAGCGCCTCTGGGAAGGGCAGGCCTCCCTCCGCCGTGCCCGTGCCCGTCGCCTCCCGGGGCTCCCCGGGCAGCGGCACCGCCACCGCCGCTCCCCGCTCACGGGTGCTGGGGCAGAGTGGTCCCGGCCGCCGCCGTGCCCCTGTTCCTCCTCAGCCGGGAAGCAAGGCATTTAGCGGGGTCTGTTATGTAATTACGGCGCTTTTTTTTCCCCCCTTTCTTCTTCTTGTTACTAAACCCGGCTCAGGATGCCGGCAAGGAGGCGGCTGCACTGTGGTTGTTTCTGAAGGAAGCTTATACTTTTATTTGATCTCGGAGAAAAAAAAATGTAGTAATATTTAAGCGGTTTGGTTTCACACATTATTGATTTTCGATTAATCACATCTCCTTATGTTGTTTTTTATACCTGTCAGTGGTACCTAAACATGCAGTTGAAGACAGAAAGCAAAAAAAAAAAAAAAAAAAAAAAAAAGAAAAGAAAAGAGAGAATAGTAAGAGATGCAAAACCGTGAGAACTGTGTAGTGGACGGCATACAAAGTTGGATATTGAAAAAAAAAAAGTAGTTCTTTAACTTACAGCCTACTTACAAGTGGAAGGTAGGTGTGCTTACAGGCATGGTGTATACTCAGCTTGTTGTACTGGATTGTATTTCAGTGTTAATGCAGCTTTAAAAAGGCAACACTAATTTCTCCTCCTGTGTGGATCCAGTGTAGATGCTTAAGGTATTTCCCCGCCCTGAAAAGTCATTGTGAGTTTAAGCATTGTTCACTGATCCAAGAGATCCAGAAATCTATAGGGTGCATATTGAAAGATAAATAGGTTATATATTTGCAGATCAAATTACTGCTGATAGTAATGATTACATGAGAATTGGGAATAGTTAATGGCAACACAATTCCTTGTTTTCTTCTGTCACAACTTACTTGTCTGTCTGGTACTGCATATTTCAGATAACTACAATTTAGGTTACTAAATTATGTATTTCGATTAGGTAACTCTTTAAATTAGTATGAAACAATTAAAACACATGGGAGCAAAATATGCTGTTTATTAGAGAGCTTATCAAGTACTTTAAAGGGCATAGTAGTGGTTCATTATATATATATATCCTTCTGATTTAAAGTTTCCTTTTACTTCACCATAACTTTATATAGTTTAATTCAAGGTTTATTCTGTCTGTCTCTTGTGGGATTAATTCTTGGAAGCATATCAATGTAATCTCTGTGTGTAAAGCCTTGCAATGTTTTTTTCTGTAAGGGTGGTGCATCTCAGTGCAGCTTTGGCTAGTGATGTTTCCACCTGAAAATACAAAAAGAACTGCATAAATAATTAATGAGATAGTGTAGTAAATGAAGGTAATCCCACACTGAGGAAGAATCCATGGAATTTTTTCATTGTCATTTTCACCCTCATACCATACTGTAATTAAAATCTTCACCCAAATTGTAAGAGACAGATGCAATGCCCTGAGACTGGCATTGCTGTTTTAAGCAGATGAGATTTCAAGGTACTTTAAAGTGAAATAGTTTATTCAGCCCTTAATCTCAGTAACCAAACTTAATTGTTACTGCCTCAGTTGTATTATCACTCAAGATTTAAGAAAGCTATTTTTGTCAGGGCCACGTAATTAATACTTGTTCTCCTCTTATGCCAAATTTTGCACTTGTGCATAAAGCTCATCCAAAGAAACCTGAAAAGTGGATCTCCATGGTAACGAGAGAGAGATTGAGAGCAAGAGAGAGAGGATTTTCTCCCTCACCATAGGTCAAGACCAGACGCCTACCCATTCCTTAACTTGTAGCAGCCTTCATTGGCACCTTCCCCTCCGTGCTTATTTTGCCTCCTGGGGTGTGCTTTTACTTGTGCCTCATGCTTCCAGAGTGAGTATGATGCTACGCTGGATGAGCACAGCTTCTGTGTTTTCCCCTGCCCTGATCCTCCTTTCTGCTTGCACCGTATTTGCTTGCTACCTATTGCTACCTATATGATTTTACTGTGGAATTTTGGGAAATGGTTTGTTTTCCCCATCAGATTTTTGTTTTGAAGACCTATTTTGTCTCTAAATCTGTGTCATAACTGACCGAACCTTACTCATTAGTTCTCTTCACATGAAAGTGTGTTCATCTCCTTTCCCCCTATTATTTGTCTGTGCTGGTTTTAGAGTTTTATTGTTTCATAGCAGTAAAAGCTGTCTACTTCTCACCTGGGAGCAGGGCTGAGTTTAATTTTTTTCAGTCAGCATGTGAGATGTGATACCGGGATTACTGTTTAGAGATGTTCAGCATAGAAAGCCTTTATCTTTATTTTTCCCTAACTCTGTCATTAGAGAGCAGCAATGTGGAACAATTCTTTCTGGAGGAGTCGCTGGGGGGCTTTTTTCCCCTTTGTCGTCTTTGAAGAACTGTCTACCTAGACTGTCTCTCTTTCGAAGTTGAGATGAAGTGAACACATTTCATTCTAGATGATCCTGTAGCCAGATACATAAAACTTTCACCGAGGAATGTAACATGTTTTCTATTTCCATTCTCCTTTCTGTACTCAGTTTTCGTAGCTACGATCTCATGAGAGGATACCAAATGGCTCCCTTAGGCTGCTGGTGCACCAGGTCTCTGGGCATATTTCCAGCTCTTTTGCCTTTCCCTGTGACATATCTTGGGACAATTTGAAAACATCTGCTAAAGCAACTATCGTAATATAAGACAGCAGTCATCATTTGTCACTGAGCAATATGTCATTTGTGGCTCTCTAATTGGAAGACAGATGCTGATGCTGACTTTGGCCTTCTTAAATTGTCTAGTTGGCAGATTGTCTGTAGAAACACTTTGCAATGCTTTGAAATCACACAGTGTATTTCTGCTTTTCTGTATCTCTGTGTTTCTTAAAGAATTGCCTGTGCCATTTGAAAATCTGCAAATCTGCTCAAGAAACCATAGTCATAGCAGCTAGTACATTCATAATCTGGCTTTCCAAGTAAATTTGACTTAATGCATCCCTCCAGTGTCTTCTGGCTAGGTGAAAGCCATTTTTAAATGGTTGCCTGAGTAGTTTTTTCTTTGCCTTTGTCTATGAGCAATTTCTGATATCTTGCTGCCGGATGCTCTGTCCCTGTATTGGTGGCATTTCAATGAATTTCACTCATTCCAGTTGTTTCCCTCTTTTTGAAAATTTAGCGTCACCTTTAACTAACTAAGGAGGTTATTCATCTTCTGATTTCTTATGCTAAAGAAACTAGGGATCTGAGAATTGAAGTTCCATCTCTGTGAAGGAAATGTCCACTTCTAGATGCCTAGATCCAGGCGTTGAATCTCTGTTGCCATGGTTCAGGTGACTGAAGCAGGTCACAACACCATGTGCCATCACCTCATAACTCAGATCATAATAAAGATCTCAGTAGTTAGAGATGGTGTCTTATACCTAGAAGGTGCTTTTTTAAGCTTTGTCGGTAAATTTGGAATGTAGGTTGCAGTAGCTTGAGTTGACTTGCAACATCTTACTGGTTTCAGCATCTTAATATCTTGATGTGGTGACTCTGCTGGATCAAGTCAAGGATTTCTTAATTTTATTTTTTTTTCTGTTGTGGAAAAAGGAAATAAGAGGGTGAGGATCCCCAAAAACTTTGTCCATCAGTTGTGCTTGCAAGCACAACAATTGTTCTGGGTGTACATCCTTGCTGAAGGTATTCCAAGGAATGTGCTAATAGGATGGTAGCTGAGTTACTTTTTCAAAAGAAGGGAGTTTTTTTTTCAGCCAGCTTCCTGACTGTGACTTCAGTTGCTAATTCTGTGCTTGTTCACACTTTCTTCCAATGTGTCTGTTTAGTTTTGCAGGTGGAGCAGGGTAATGTATCTGACTGGAGGTCAATAACAATAAGAGACAATGACTGGCA